CCAGCACTGGTACCTACTTGGCATAGGCCTTCTCCACCAGAGCACACCAGAACTCATTGCGGGAGTTGGAGTGGCAGTAGATGAGCTGGTTGTTGACCGTGGGCAGCTGGTCATCGATGACCACATCTATCCACTCCCCGAAGCGCCAAAACTGGAAGTGGAAGATGCCTGCGTAGGCCTCAGGCTTCTCGGGGTCCCACTCCTGCTCCTTCCAGTCTGGGATGACCTGGATGGGGGCGGGGGACAGGGAGGAGGCATGCTGAGGAGGTGGGAGTGCGGATCGCCAGGGATTCGAAACAGAGAGGGAGTGTGGAGTCAGCCCCCCACCCTCACCCCCGTGAACCAACGTGGACCATGGAGCCGACGTCTTCCACCCAGGGCTATGGTTCCCCCAGCTCTTTGAAGGCATTGCTGGAAGATTCCATGAGTGCAGTGCCTCTGTTCTTCCTGCCTCCCTCTGCATCCTCCTCCCTCAGAGCCTTCCTCCGCACCTCACAGGAGAACTGAGGCCGGGAGATGGCAAGTCATGTTCCCAGGGCCACAAGCCTAGAAAGCGGGGACCTCAGGGCTACTAGGCTCAATTCCGTCCTCCAGAATGCACTGTGAAACTCTCATCCGGGGCCCGCGGTGGCGAGAACGTTTGGAACCTAGGACAGGATCTTTAGGTGAGTTAAAAAGTCAGACGGTGGTCAAAACCAAAACCAAATTCGCTGCCACAGAGTCGATGCTGACGATGCATCCCCGGCAGACAGAATGGCCATGGTGTTCCCAAAGCGAGGAGGGCATCTTCGGGAGGCTGCCTGCTCCGGCATCCTCCTGTGGAGCAGCTGGTGGGTTCGAACTGCCCGCCTTTTAGTCAGCAGCTGAAGGGTGAAGCATCACGGGCGCCAGGACTCCAACACGGGAGGAACGCCAGCCCAGCCCAGCCCAGGCCACGGCCATCCAGTCAGTGCCGGCCCACAGAGATGCAGCACACACGGGTCCTGAGGCTGTACATCTCTACAGGGGCAGACGGCCTCATCCTCCTCTCAAGGAGCGGCCGGTTGGTTTGATCCTTGGACTCTGGGGTTCGCAGTCCTAAGCTCACCCAACAGTGCCACCAAGGAAGGGTGGGTCCTGACCCAACACAACTGGTGTCTTTATAGAAAGAGACGATCCTCAGAGAGGCACAGGGGAGGGCCGTCCCATGAAGGTGGAGGCAGAGACTGGAGTCATGCTGCCACAAGCTTCCAGGACTGGAAGAGACACAAAGGGCTCTTCACCCTAGCCTCCGGGCGGGCAGGGCATGACTCCTGCACTTGGACAAGGAGCCCCGGGGGCCCTCAAACGTTGTTGCATGAAAGCCCCTCACGTTCACTTTGTGGTTCTGTTGGATTGGGCCTGGGAGGCCCATACAGCAGGATGCAAACCCAGGTGTGTCTGCCTCCCACGGAAGCGCTCTCCATCGCTGGGCCAAGAGCTGGCAGAGACCCTGAGCACCGGGGGCTCCCTGGCTGTTGGGAGAGGCAGGCGCACAGGCCCGGGGCTGAGGCCAACACAGGGTGGACACAGGGCTGTGGGGAGATGGAAGCCTGTCCTGGGTGGCCGGCAGCAGCTCCTGAGTAGGTGGCCTGAGAGTGGGTGGTGGGCATCTATACACCAAGTAAACCAGGATCCGGGAAGTTGGCAGGGAAGACAGATCGTTCACCCTGCCAAGTGGGGGTCACCTGCACAGGACACAGGCAGCTCCTTCTAGGAGCCCCGGTTCCAGCTGCCATCCAGAGATGCACCCTTAATAAGGCCAGGGCTGTAACTGAAGGTGACCGCCACACTCACCACAAGGGCTTTGTTCACTGCCCTCTGACCCTCTGCAGAAGGAGCCCTGGGGATGTAGTTGTGAACTGCATGGCTTGAAGTTCAAAACCATCAGCAGCTCTGAGAGAGAGACTGGGCTCTCGTCCCGTCAACAGTTACAGTCTGGGAACACACGCACCAGGGGATTGCAGTGAGGCTGCATGGGCTCCAAGCAGGGAGTGGCCCTCAGCCGGGAGTTGGGTGAGCCCAGCCAGCACTCCCAGGTGGGACATCTGAAGCTGTGGCCAAGGAAACACTCATCACAGTGACAGGCACTACACCATGGGTGGGCACCTGCTGGCTGCTGGCTCGACTGCCCCTGGCATCGCCCGGCTCTTTGCCGCCCGGTGCTGTGAGCAGGCCCCGGCACAGGGCTGCCCTTGAGTGTGCTCGGGCAAGGCAGGCGGGTTCCCACCCAGCGCCCAGGGTCTGTAACCCAGGGAGGATGCCACTCGGTCCTTTCCCCAGCTCCTTGCTGCCCTTGGCCGTCAACCCTTCTGGTCTCTCTCAGTAGAAGCCTTCGGGTCAGCCGCGACCCTGACCCCTGGTGTTGTTCCTTCACTTTGCTTCCAGGACAGAAAACAGGGCCCCTAAACCAGTCACAGTCACCCTGCCTGCGCTTTCCGCCCACTACCCAGCTGCCTCTCCCTGTGACGAGGCAGCGAACCCACTGCCCTCAAACCGATTCCCATGCACAGAGACTCCACAGGGCAGAGAAGAGCTGCCTCGGGGGTTCCTGGGGCGGGCACCCTTTACGGGGGCAGGAAGCCTCAGCTTTCTCCCGCAGAGCAGCTGGTGGGCTTGAACTGCTAACTTTGTGGCTAGAGCCTAACGGTTACCCCCACTAAAGAGGCAGGCAGGTGGGGGTTGTGACCCCCACTGAGCAGAGAGGAAGGCCGAGGCCCAGCGGGGAGTAAGGAGCAGCCTAAGAGCAGAGAGCCTCCCCGGACCCCCTCCCACCTGTGCGGACTGTTCTGGATTGCACAAAATGGGGAGGGAAAACGAGCCCTCGCGGGAGCTGCGAGGTGCTGCTGCCCCGGGAGCATCATTACTCAGACTCAGGGCTTGGCTCTGAGCCCTCGGAGGCTCAGGCAGCAGTAATGAGGCCCCGGGGCCTGAAGACAGAGAGTTAGGCATCCTGGGACTCTCCCGTGCTCACGGCCAGCCGGCCAGGGAACCACCCTGGGCTGCCCTGGTGGCGAGAAGGGGAGGGTCCAAGCAGAGAGCTCACATTTGCATGTCTGTCAAGCACCCTTCCCCACCACATCTGGTCATGCCAGAAATCAAGGCAGGGCTTAAAGACTCCAGAGGCTGGTCACAGGGTTCAGAGGACATCTGGGAGAGGGCCCTCTGGCCATCGATAAGGACAGCAATTCGACAGAGCACCACACATCGGAAACACCCAGATCCCTCCGATCGGGGCGACACTTAGTGCACAACGGATGGCGGGGCATCCGTGAGCCTGAAACAGGGAATTTAGAGGACAGGTTCACACCTGGATCCTGCCTTTTCTTATTAGTGATCCTGGAGGGGGCCCAATGGTAGAGGAAGAGATGTTCTCCGCTGGAAAAAAGGCCGAGTAGTGAGAAGGAAGAAACAGAATTGTTTGGAGGAGCACCGCTCTTGATTTAGGGTTTCGGCACCTGGGCATCAAGGTTTCTCATGCACAAAGGAAGAAAGCCGCAGACATCGGGGGCTCCTGAGAAGCACGCTGGCCCCCCCACCCCAAGATTTGAACCTGAAACCTGATCAGCCTCGGAGAGCACAGCCTAGTCTGCAGACAATGCACGGCAGAGGATGACCAGCCACGCTTCAGGACACCAGGGAGATGCAGACGGCAAAATCCCGACAGCGGAAGCTCCCCAGCGTACAGGACCCCGTTTCTTCAAATAAGTTGTAAAGCACAATGAAAAATGGAGCGCCAACCAATTGTAACTATGGACCTCTACCGAGATTTCAAGGAGGCCTGGTGACATAGTGGGGTTTGGGGGCTGCTATCTGCAAGGTCCGCAGTTCAAAACCCACCCCCTGCTCCTCGGGAGAAAGAGAGGCTTTCTGCTCCCATAAAGATGTACAGCCTTAGAGGGTCACAGGGATGGCTCTGCTCGGCCCCTTAGGGGAGCTGTGAGTCAGTCAACTCGATGACATGAGTCTGATGGGGTTTTTCTATTTAGATCTCATTCAAACTTATAAACACACATACATTTACAGTTCACACAGGAAATTAGAACACTTACTGGGTATTTGACATTAAAGAATTAATCTCAAATATTTTGAGGAGCGCTGGTGGCATAGTGTTTAGGCATTGGGCTGCCAACAGCAAGGTCGGATGTTTAAAACCACCAGTGGCTCCGTGGGAGAAAGATGAGGCTTTCTGCTCCCATAGAGAGTTACGACAGTCTCAGAAGGTCATGGGGGCCAGTTCTTTCCTGGCCTTTCGATGGCAGTGAGTTTGGTTTCGGTTAAAACATGTCAGTGGTTTGACGGCGTTGAGTGTTTCTGTGTTTGTGTTTTATAATGACCCGGCACCGTTCAGAGTGGCATAGAAAGACTGACAGATGAAAGGGCATATGCTGTCTGGGAGAGCAGAGGAAGAAAGCCCAGGTGCCCACTGCCGAGGGGGAGGGATGGGAGTGTGGGAGTCACGGGGAGGTTCCACCGTCCTGCCTGCCACTGCGAGAGCAGTTAGTTCCCTGTAGTCGAGAAAGTCCCACCACCACAAGACATCAGTCCTGGGTCGGGCATCCAGGCCCTGTGGGTCGGTTCTGCTGACCCTCAGCCTCATCCCGCACCCTCTCTCGGGCCACTTGAAAATCTACCACCGCTTCCCAAGGACCCTGAGGCTTCACCCCCTACACCTGTGCATGTGTGGTTCCCTCTCTACAAGCTCCTTAACCCAGTCCTCCACCTGGGCTGAGTGAGGCAGCCCCTCCGGGGGTCCTTCTCCTCCCTGCTCACTGGGAGGAGCTCCTGGAGGGCTGGGGCTATGTCTGATTCACCCGCAGCCCCAGCTCCTAGTCCAGCCCCAAAGCTGGCAGGACAGCTCCTCGCGCTGGTCCGGCTGGCTCTGTACACCTCAGTGGCCAGCACATCACCCCACAGTGGATGAGGGGCCTTGTGCTACTTCTCTGGGCCTCCAGCTCCTCCTTTGGTGAGGACGAAGGTGGACAGTCGCTCTGGGGGTGCAACAGGAACTGTGCATCCTCACAGGACAGTGGGGGTGGGAGGAGAATACTGGTCAACATCTCTCCCAGCACAGGCAAAGGCAACAGCACCTGAGCAGGTAGAAGGCAGGCCTCGGTGGGGGCAAGGCCTGACCTGGCAGGGAGCCTCCCTCACATGCAGGTGGCCATTAACAGCCCCCCGAAACTCAGCCCAGAAAGCTTAGGGCTC